TCTTCTATACTGTGTTGTGTGTTTGTGCATGAATTTTAACTACGGGGCACTGTAATAACTTTTAATAAGTATAAAGCCAGTAATGAATGAGATAGAAAACAAAACCCAGTAGGTTTGATTGGTATGGCCAAAGGCTTATTCTTGAAAGCACTGGCAAAGTAGATCCTTGTTGGTTTCATCCAGGGAAAAAAGAGAAACACACAGAAGTGAACAGCATTTGAGATAAGGACAGGGACGTAACTAGACAGATGGAGATTGCAAATGTAAGAGAACACGATGTTTGTAAACGTGTAAGGATGCTACCAGAAAGCTTCTGGGGAAATGCTTGGTGACTAGTGGAAGCAGTCTACTAACAACAAGGAATCCACTCCATTTAATTTGGGCACGTTTGTCCTCAGATCAAAGTCCCAGGTGTGGCCCTGGGCAGGTGGGTGACGCACAGAGAAAGTGGTGACTACGGAATGGAGGCCAAGGGTCGGGGACAGTTCGGCCACATGGAGGGGGTTGTTCATGCACAATTAGATAGACCTGCACGTGCTCTTTAACGGTCGCGACGTATTACATTCAAACCGCATCTTCAACACCCTAAAAAGGTTCAAGTTCTTCACCAGCAAAGAAATGACAGACCAAACTCCTGAATCATTTGCAGCCATTTTTTATTCCAAACATGTATTTTTGTAAACCTGCATTCCCCTAACAGTGCAAGTGAATTAGAAGTGACTGCATAAACTTTAATACACTTTTAATGACTTTGGGAGGAGGAACACCCCTCCCACCAAAATTCCTCAACGTAAATGTACATGGATGCATCAGTCAAGTTCTGGAAGTGAAGTTAGCGTGGGTGTCTGCCATGCAATTAATCACTCTTAAAGCTTTTAAACTCACTCTGCCCGTCACACCGTGCACATTAGGAAAAACAACAACAACAACAACAACAAAGTCTGAAATCTAGACCATTGTGCTATAAAGCATTGCACCATGCGGGAAATTTGTTCATTATCCCAATTTGCTGAAAATCGGAAGACATTCTAGTAGGTTCATCTTGGCCCTGGTGGCATCTGTATCTTCCCTTCAGCCATTCTTTGTTTCAGAAAATATTATCTGCTGTGTGTACCACTGCTCCACATAGCAGAACGACACATTGCTTAGACCCCTGTGCGTTGGAGCACTTCTGAAATGACACTCACTTTCTGCCTTTTGTCTGCTAAAGGGCCATTTCCCCGACATAACAATCCTTTGCAGTGCCTCTACATTCCCGGAAGTCTGGGTCAGGTGCATGTGGGTTTCACCAGATGCACATTTCATATGTAACCTATGTGTAACTGCATTCCCCTGGCCATACCGTCTTTTCCAAGAATAAAAGTAGCGGAACAGCCTTTAAAAAAAAGGACTCTGCTAGGGTTTTAACAGGTAGCCCACAGCACATGTATCACTTGGGGGATCTACTATACTTCTGCATTGAAAACAGGTCCCAGATATTCCTGGGAGGCCTGCTGGTTTTCTGTTTGTTCTTAACTCCCTTGCCTTTGGCTCAAAGATGGTAGGCTATGCGTGACTGGGTGACAGACGACTTTCTAGTGGATTTTCTACAACATTCACCAAACGTGAGAATACTCCTGGTGATGCTGATGCTGGTACCAGCTGACTGAGAGAGCGGATTCCTGACGTGTGCCTGTCAGTCAGCAGCAAGCCAGTGGACCCGCCCCCTTCTTCTAGTATCTCCTTATTCCTAAACCTTGTGGTCTTTTCTTGGGAACAGGTCTAGGACTCACTCTGGGGATGTCCCCAACTCATGAGTCCCATATCAACGGAGCATAAGTCAACCATTCTTGAAAAGCGGGCATTATTTTCAATTTTTACAAAGGTCCTTTTTCATATTTAAAAAGTGTCTCAATCTTCCCGTCAGTTAAAACCATACTGAATACATAACTAAAAGCCGAAGCAGATTGAACTAATGCTGTGTAAGAGGATATCTGATAGGACTCCACAGTGAACCCACAGAAGCAGGAGGGTTCGAAACCGGAATGCACTGTGGACTTTCAAAAGAATATTCTGGAGAAGTTGTACAGATGCCATTCACCCTGCCTGCTTCCCCTGAGAGCCTATTGAGAGGGCTCACGGTGGGCTGGGCTTCTTTATCACCGTGTCAAGCAGCTAACTTCCTGCTGTCGCCCCACCTGCTACTCAGCACCATCAGACGTGCAGAGGCACGTCCTTCTCCAGACAGATTCCTGGAGTGGCTGCCTTATGAAGTCTTGGTGATCTCCTGAGCGTATGACTGCCCATGTGGGTCTGCCGTTCAGAATCGACCAGGGGCAAACAGATCCTGGCTCCGAGACCGTCCACAGGGACAGGAGGAGTCATCCTCTACGTGGCCACCAGTGCGTCTGGACCCCTCGTAAGGGAGCTGGTTACAGGCTGTAAATGCGTTTGTCCAAAGCCGCTGAGGGAGCTGACCCAGGCCTACCGCCTAACAATCTTCAGTGGCTTATTAAAGGACGGCATGATACTATGAGCAAAAGTCCACTGAGGGAAAGCCGCACATGGGGTCTCATAGAGGAGACTCTCCGTCCGCCTCTGGCGGGAGGGTTTGGCTCTCCGGGCAGAATGTGCTACGGAGTTCTCTGGGGAAGCCCCAGCACTTAACGCAGCTCCTGATGCACAGCTTAAAGGTGTCCTTTAAGCGAGTGACCAAGACCCCCTCAAAACTGCCCTCACTACTTTTGATACAACTCACGGGGGAACTCTGACAACTGGTGTCTTTGACTGCATCTGCCCGGTAGCTACCTCTGCCTCCGTCCCTGTCAGAAGCAACATCCCCGCCTTCATTCTAAGATCAGCCTAGTTCATGCCATTGACCCTCTGGCCTTGTCATCTATTCCCAGATTCACCAGGAAGGGACACATGATACGTTCACTGTCTTTCTGCATCAGAGTCAACTGCATAATAAGAAACGAAAAGACGCTTCTGTTCCACGCCAGGTTCACAACTGTCCGGCATCCTCATGATTTTGCCTAAACTTTGCTATCTTTCCAGGTATTAGCCAAGTATGTGCGTGGAAAAGCCTGTCTCCTCTGGAGTTCTGCGTCTTTGCAACGATGTTCACAGACCCTCCAACATGTTAGCTTCCAGTGGACAAGGCCCTACAAGAAAGATCCCCCGTCTTGTTTCCTCTTTCGGTCCCACTTGCTAACATCTTTTATGCACCCGGGGCTCCAGCGGGCTGTAATAAGCCATTAAGGACTCTTTGTCAGACCCTGTTCTCAGCCGTGTGTTTTTTCTCTCCTCAGAAGGTTTGTGGCGACCGCGGCCAGGGCTGCGGCCAGTTACTGAGTGTCCCCTGCGGTCCAGGCGCTGTGCTGGGCACACTACACGCGTCATCTCATTGCCCTTCTAGAAAATCACATTGCACTCAAAACCAGGCGGCACAGCGCGGCTGATGATAAACACCAACCGGCAAACAGGGAGACTGGAACCGAGGGCAGCAACTCAGCATTCAGGCGCGCAGTGGGCAGGGAAGTGCCAGCGCTGCGCCCAGGTCCCAGTGCATTCTTTTTCACATCATTTCTGGATGCCTCCCCGGGCTGGGGGTGCATTTGCAGCTCTCCTGCAGAGGACTGCCTCTGGGCTGTCGGAGCCGTTCTGCCAGCCGGAGCTGAGAGTGGGAAATTTATAGCTCCCCTGCGCCCAAGAATCTGAAAGATCAGCTCCCTTGCCCCGGGTTGGGGCGACTCTGGGACATAACTTACCCTCCAGAGCTCCCTGCAGGATCAGGCTGAAGCTACCCTCCTCGGGATGTCCTCTGAAATGGCACCCTTGCCTGGCTCCCTCCCCTTCCCTGTCCTGCTTCCCTCACCCCCTTACTGCCGTCTCCTACGGGCAGAACACCACCTTATTCGGTTACTTGCAGGCAAATCTTTGTACTGGAGTCTGCTTTCGGGGAACCTCCCTTAAGATGCTGTTTTAAAAACTAAGGACAGGTTGAATGGTCATCTCTGGGAAGGAATCTGCAACGGCCATCAGCTGGGACAGCAAGAGTGGGAGGGGAAGCGGAGACCTCTGACCTCAAATTACCACGAAAAGGCAACACATCACAGCATTGTGACACAAGTCTTTGCTTGGTGGGCACTGATTTAGTCCTTGTGGCGAGCGGACTCGGATGCATGACGTCCAGGATGAGATGCCTTGCTGAGGTTTGCCAGGTGACCCAATGGCCTTGCTCCAAGCTCTCGTCCATTAATCCAAGTGCAAGGAGGGTGTGATGTCCGTATAGGTGATGCCGAGCAGACTTGTGCTAGGGGCAGGTTTTTCCATCCAAAGTCCTGTTGGAAGCCTTCCGATGCAAGGTATGTATGAAAAACCGCTTAGAGTCCTTTAGCACATTATTTCAAACGACTCCAGGCAACCAAGATGCGAATTGTCTTAGGGGTCTGACCTCAACCAGTATACGTGTGGTGCCGCCTGCTTCGTGGCTCACACGAGGTCTCCTCAGATTATTTTATGTGCACGTCTCTTTTTAACAGCAAGTCCCAAAGTACAATCAGATTTGTATGAATGCACACGTACTTCCAAGATTTCAGCCCGGAGATCAGTGCTTGAGTGAATTATATAACTATTTAATAGAAATAATAAAACATCGATACAAATATAAAGACATAATCAGTATATAAAAGGCTTATATTTATAAAAATACTTTTAGGTAACAGTTTTCCCCTGAGGGTTGACCACGCACGTTGCATCCATAAATATCGTTCACCTCTGTAGCTTGCTTTCCCAAGTTCGGAGTTCACCTTTAAGAAGAAACAGGTGGGGCTCCAGTCATGTGACCTGGCCAGAGCGGCTGCCTCAGGGTGGCTCCTGGGCTTGACAAAAAACGAGGAAGAGAACAGCATCAGTGGGGCCTCCGAAAAATCTGGAGAAGATTCTTTCTTCCAAATATGGAAGATACAAAGATCAAGGACGACAGGCGGCCGATTGGGTCACGTGACTGGTGTGGCAGGTCACTGGTTTTTCTGGACCCAGTCCCAACTGTCTTCGTTCTCTTTCCGGTTTTTCTCGGCTTCAATAATTTCTTTGTACCTTCGGCGAAAGAAGCCCATCTAAAAGGCAGAGGGAGGAGAGGCCGGGTTAGAATGCTGGAGAATCAGCCCTTTCGGTCCCCAAGGCAGCCCGGGGGAGGAGGGGAAAAAGTCCTGTACTCACAGACCTGGGAAGGCTTGGAAAGCCCCTCAGATTAGACCGATTTAGGAAGAGCATTATTGTGGAGCCACTTTTCAAAATGCACGGACTTTCTGCAGGTTCTCTCATGACTGTTCCTTATAAAGTGCTTTTGCTGAAGTGTTTTCCGAACGGGGTGCTGGCGAACACTAGTTACCGAGAGTTATTCAAAGGCATTTGGGAGTAAAATAGTGATTTGCGAATAAAATTCACAGTCAAATGAGTTTGGGAGATGCTGCCTTCTTTCTTCCTTAAAAAAAAATTTTTTTTTTAATATATATTTTTGAGAGACAGAGCGAGACAGAGCACGAGCAGGAGAGGGGAAAAGAGAGAGGGGGGACACAGAATCCCAAGTGGGCTCCAGGCTCTGAGCGGGCAGTACAGAGCCTGACGTGGGGCTCGAACTCATGGATGGTGAGACCATCACCCGAGCCGCAGCTGGACGCTTAGCTGACTGAGCCATCCAGGCGCCCCTCTTCCTTTAAGACGTATGTAATGCACAGTAGGAAGTCAAGGATCTAATAACCCTTAGTAAAGGATCTAAGAAACTCAGGGACTTGACATTTCCTGAGCTCCTTTGGCTTTTGATAAACCTATTGTTATCTGGGGAGACATCAGCCATCGTGGGGGAATTGCTAAATACTGCTCTCACAGAACAGGCTTTGAAAAGCGTCCGTCAGTCTGCATTCTACCTTGCTGTTCGTCTAGATCTTTCTCTCAAACCTACAAAACATGCAGTACCTGCCCCACACCCAGCAGTGTGAACTCCCCGAAAACTGGCATCTCACTGGATCCGGATGGCAGTTTCCTTCAGCTCAGTTCTGGAAAGACCTTCCCCTCTGACGTCACATCCGGCAAGACGAGTTTCTGGGTTTTCTCGCACAGGCATCACAGACATTAAGCATGGGAGCTGACCTTCTCCCGTGCTCGGAGAGACCCGGCACGTCTTGTCCTTTGTCCCCAGCATTCGTGGCCGCTGTTTCTGACGTCAGACATCCCTGCCTCTGCCCTTAAACGTGGCCAGCTGGAGTGGGGTACTCCAACACCCCCTCTTCTTGGCTGTGACAACCCTCAGGTGCACGACCTACCAGAGTTCCCCGGTGGAACTTGCCCGAAGCGGTAACCAGCCTTACTTACCGCGTCTTGGTGGGCCTCCTTCTCTTTTGCTCTCTCGCGTTCCTGCTCTGATCAGGGTTTCCTGCCGTCACCTTGCAAATCAATGACCCGCCCTCAAATCCCCGTTTCAATCCCCTCGAATTCAAACGGCCTCACGCGTTCAGTCTGCTGTCGGGGAGCCTGCTGTCCTGCAGGCTTGTGGTTCCACACCGTCATGAGCTTGTGACTCCCGTGGCCACGTTCGAAAGCGCTCACGACCAGGAATTTCTGCAGTGTGCCGCCAGGAGCGAATCTGAAACCTGCACCGAGCGAGTCATCAGGCCAGCCCAGCTCTCACGGGCACGCCCACTTCTCTATCTGTCCGTTCGTCCTCATACTCCTTCCCTGTGAGCTGAGCGTCCTCAGTCACCCGACGGTCGGAATTCCTTGCCCCAGAGAAGGGGCTGATTGGCCTCTCCGGGTTGCCAGGGGAATCCTGGGAGCGCACTCGGAGTGCAGTCAGTGAAGGGGCTGATGCAGGTTGAATGACGGGGAAGAAGCTTTCTTAAAACAACTGCCAAGCGTTTGCGGCTCTGAGTGTCAATCCGCACGGCCAGTGTTGTGGACACGGAGTTCCTAGTGTTTTCGGCCCTGGAAGTTTCTTCTCGGCATAAGACTACGTCTGCCAGGACCCCACTTTCTGGCACTCCCCTCCACCCCCCTGCCCACACACACTTTCCTCTCCTTAAGTCCCTATCACCTTCTCCCCTCTGCAAGGAATGTGGAATCAGGGCTTGGTCTGGATGTTCCGGAAAAAGGCCGTTGTCAAGGCCCTCAAAGCACGCCTGCAGAAGGTCAGGAGAGCAACCCAAGACTTACTGGAAATGTCTCAGGAGTTACTGCTTGAAATACCATTAAGATAAAGATGTGGTTGACTGGGCAAATATGTCATGAGCACCTTCTGTGCTAAGGAGGACATAATCACGAGAGTAAGGCTGGATGTAAGATGGAAATAAGGTTCCTTAGCACAGAACTCTGCCTGCTGATGGTGCAATGCTTCACTAATCCCAGATTACTCACTTTCAATTCCAGATAAGTAGCTCATCTCTAGTCAGGCGGAACTTCAACGGCTCCCTCATTATCCTTCGCGTTTGTCTTAAGTCTGAGGACTCCTTGAAGGCAGGGTTTGTGCATTTTGTCCCCGGAGCTTAGCATATCACCTGTACTTGGCAGTAACTGCAGAAACACCCACAATCCTGCGTCCCCCGCGTCCAGGCCCCTTACCACGTGACTCTGTGGGAGTTCCCATCATGAGGAGGGGGCTGGCTCCCACCCCTTGACTCTGCACTGTGACTTGTTCTGAAAACCGGATGCAGTGGAGGCGAAGCCGTGTCGGTACCCCGCTTGGGCCTCAAGAGGCCTCTCGCACTTCCCAGAACCCTGCCCAGCCTCCACGAGTTTGGTCTAGATGCGAGTTGCGCTCAGTGAGGCCCCCGAAGACCGGCCAGCCCCCAACTGCCTGCAGGCGCAGACACGAGTCTACCCGAGACCAGAGAACCCCCCTGTTAAGCTCAGCCCGACCCACAGACTTGTGAGCTAGACAGACGTTTGCTGCTTTTAAGCCATTAAACTTCGGGATGGTTTGTCACGCAGCATGAGTCAAGCGATACAGCACCCCGTGTTTTCTGTCTGACTTACTGGAAGTCTTCCTCGCAGGAAGAGAGGCAGGGGCAGCCGGTAGGGTTCTAGACCAAAGGAGCAGCGCCCTGCCTTGTCCTGCTGAACAGACTTTTCTTGCTCATCTCCAAGCGGCACAACAGTCGGCTCACTTTCTCATAGCTGTGCCAGCATAAGGATTTAAAATAGAGTGTGCAAGCAATCTAGCAAGGATCTAGAGCAGCCAGATGCACGGTCACGTGGAGCTCCCGTGTGCCCATGTTTAAGTGTCATACTTGCTACCAACGAGGTGACAGCACCATCATCTCCTGCGGGCATCCAGAAGCAAGCTCTTTTCTCTCAAGTGGAGTGGTGTCAGCTTTAGTCCTCAGAATCCCTCCCCGCCCCCGGGACGGCTGTCACGCCGCTCTCAGAAACAAAAGAGCCTTGCAAACTCTATGCCCCACTGCAACACCACGGGGTCTCAAGAGCTGTGTCCGACACAACCCGGGCGTGGCCTCTTAGACGGAAGGCTGGAGCTGGCCACTGGTGTTTGCCCTTCTTCGATGCAGCCCAAAGACCATTTCTTAAAACTCGGTCCACTCTCACGGCTAGGGAGTTGGGTACAGTGGTGTAGGCTGTGCACTGTATGAAGGGGGCAGTGCCCCTCACGCCGTGGATATCATGGACATGTCCATTTATTACAACTATTTTCCAGCAGATGGCAGTACAGTGTCTTTCCCCCCTCAACAAAATCCGCAGGTTTCCTGAATTTTCTAAAGGATGGGAGTACAGTTTCTGGACGAAGGGGCTCTGTTTGCTAGTTTGCACAAAGGTGAGTGGTGGCTCTCTGTCGAACTAATATTGTTTCTTACACAACTAAGCCAACTCCGTTTCAGAAAAAGAGAATATCAGCTTTGGGCCGTTTAGAGCCTCGCTGTGGCTTTTGATACAGAACCCAAAGCCCAGGCTCTGAGTTTACCGAGCAGTGGTCCCCCAACACCTGTGTCACACCAGGTCTGCCCATTGCCACAGGACCTTCTTGGAAGACGTGTACGGGAGAGACGCGACAGGGGGAGCCCCGAGTCCTGATGACTGCTCGCGCTCCAGCCACCTATCTCCTGGGCCACAGGTGAGGTCATTTCCTGGCTCTAAGACACCGATGGCATTCTCAGACCTCGGCGGGTTCCCAAAGCAACCCCGGGGCTGCAGCCTGGGGGGCACACAGCTGCATACACCCAGGGTTCACGCGAAGGCGGCCCAAGACACGGAGCCCTCGTCCGGTGGCGATCGTTCCGAGGAGGTTTTGGAAATTTTGGGAAAACTGCATTTTCAAAGTTTATGCTACAGGATGGATACACACAAGGAGTTATAAAATTCTTAAAACGAAGATAAATTGAGACTTCAAAGACATTTCTCTGGCAGCAGGCCCTCCTTAGGCACCTCCTCTGGCTCTGGTTACTCTGGGGGAGACGTCTGAGAAGTGCTGGGCAAACCTGGTTTGGCTGCCAGCTGAGCCCCCTGGGGGATGATTCATAATGAGTTGAAGCTGGACCCTCAGCAGCCCCACCGTCCATTCCCATCCAGTGGAGTCAATGTTGTCCTGCACTTTTTTTTCCTGGAACCTTCCAAGGGCTTGCATTGCCACTAGGAGGGCAGAAGGCCGTGTTTAAAACAGTTCTGTCTGCAGCGGAGGAAACGTTCACGGAAACCCTCGAGGAGGACTCAAGCCAAGCCTTGCTCAGCTGCAGACAGAGGCGTCAGCTTGCTTTCTGGCTTTTGTCCGCACCGGCCCTGATTGATGGCAGCCCGCAGCCCCAAAGAGCATCGCCCTGAGCCCTCCTGACAGACTCTCACAATTTTCCGATATAACCTTCTATCAAAAACCTACCCGAAAACAACTAGGGAAACGGCAGATTTCCTCAGGATGGCCCTCATCAGGGAGGTGCTGTGGGAGGCTCGAGGCCTAGGAAGAGAGAAGAAGGCCCGACCGAGTTTTGGGGTCTGCACCAGCCTCTTCCTTCCCAGCCCGATTTGGGGTGAGTGAGGGACTGGACTGCACAACTCCACAGCATCTGTGCTCTTGTGAGATACGCACCCCCTCCTCCCCCGGCCTGTGGGTTACCTCCCG